GTGAACTATTCAGGTGCCTGTAGACTCAAGAAAGCAATGTGCAGTAGAAAAGGCCAGGCAGGAGCCCAATACCTCAGTCTTATCTGCATCAGAAGTCTCTACACAAGCTACACATTAGATACACCTGGGAAGCCCCAGTCCAGTTGAGTTCACTCCAGATTACTTATGTCAGAATCCTTGGCAAATGGGACACAGACAATGGTATTTTTAAAATGTTCCACAGTGATCCCAGTATGGAATTCCCGATCTACATGGTTGATAAAAAGATTGAACAGGGCATAAGATCAATGCCTTTCCTTCAGAATAACTTTATGTCAAACACAGAATCTCTGATAGGTTCAAGAAGCTGACTGGGGATCCCATTATTTCTCTGCAGAAATCCAGATCTTAGCTTGACTGGGCTAAGTTCATCCACAGTTTACCACTTGCCTTTCTAAAGTATCACAAACCATTTTTTTTTTTTATAAAATCTATTCTGGAACTATAAAAAATTAACATCAAGTTTATGCATTTATAAATTTCTAAGATCTCTAAAAAATTGAACAAAAGATGAGTCTCTGGTCTTTTGGCCCCCTTTCACTCACCATAATTCTGTATAAAAACTGTGATTCTCTTAACACATGTGAAGGCATTCAGTAGGGAGCAATGTCCCAGGCCCAGGCAGAACACCTAACTGGCTCTCCTTTCTCTAGTTTATACATTCTAGCAATGACCAGGCCCCAGTGGCTGTTCTCTCCGTCCCCAGTTATGGCTCCCAAAATTACAAACCTACCCCTTCCTTCTCATTCTTCATGGGAATGTACATGATAATAATTCTTATGTGTGTTTTCTTCTACCAGCCTCAGCACATTCTGGTCACTGGACTTCCTGATATGCCTGTGAAGGCTCAGTTCACTTCTGAACCTTTCTTCCAGTGAGCATGGCCTTTACTATTTCCACTCACTGGACAGCAGCCCTGCCTTTGCACAGACATTTCAGTCCTTCCCCAGTACCACCACCTTCCTCCTTAGACTACCATTCATGGCTGTTCTGTTAGCATTTCCTTTTAAAAAAATGAATACTGCCCCTCCAGCTGACTTCCCTTTTACAGTCTGTGGCTATTGGGTTAAAAGTGGCTTGCATTTAAAAGAATTTTCTTAAGTCTATGGTAAACACTTCTCCTTGCCCAGCCTTCTCTCAGGCCTCATAAATGCCAGGATGGTGCCCCTTTCCCTAAAGATTTTCAATGCTTCTCCACCAATCCATTCACCCTTTGTTGCTGAGAGCATCCCTCCTTACACCCTATAGATTCAGAAAAAGAGGGCTATCAGAAGGCTGGGCAAGAATTCACCCAGTTTCTAATAAGGTTAAAAGACATCCCTCCACCCCAGTTCCCAGATATCTTGTCTCATATCTGATGGAAAGATGTGTTTCAGCCATTAAATTCAATTGGCTGAGGGTTAGAAAGTATTCTCAAACCATATTATCTTTTCATTTTTCTAATTTTCACCCATACTTTTCTCAGTCATGTTTCCAATACTATGCATATATTTTTCTATGCAGACTTTTTGTGTTCATAAAGGGTCATTCTCCTATTCAATCAAGTATTTGTTTCTTCACCCATGGGTAACTTTTCAGACAGGCCCAGCACCATGGTATCTCTTTGCTCCTGGTGTACAGCCTCTTCCTCTCCCTATGCCTGGCCCCCAGGTTCTGTGCTACAGTTCTTTCAGCAAGCCAGGGAACATTTTAAGATAAACAATTTGTATTGCATGTTTAGACCTCAGACTAATGCACAGTTGTTTATGCATAAAGATTTTCTTCTACACAATCTAGGAACATTTTGTCACAGTGCACTAGTTGCCTACTATGTGCCAGGCATTAAGCATATTTTCTCTTACCTTTCAATCACACAATAGGGGCAATCCTTCTTTGCAGGGCTATCTTATTATTAACTATGTTGTCCTACTGTGAGCCCTCCAATGCCTCCACACCCACTCTAATCGGCTGTCTTTGTTCTGCTACCAAACCACCATTCAGGTAAAAAAGAATGCAAGTTAAACAGCCTCTGACATCAGCCTAGGATCTAAATCATTCCTGGAACTGGGAAGACAGACCATGCTACACAAATAAACCCTTTCACATGTATTACCTACAGCTACTGCCAACTTGCCCCAACCTTAAGTTAGGACCCAGGGAAGTGGCTGCCTGCCTCTCAGGAGCCATCTCTAGTCTTACAGCACTGAACTACTTTTCTGAGTAGACAGATTCCCCAGCACCTTCCCAAAGCCCACTGGGAAAAAGAATGAGGAATATGGAAGGAAGACAGAAACGCAAGATAATCTTCCCCCTTACAGGATGATTCAAAGCAGCTGTCAGCAGACAGCTCAAACAAAGCCCCAAAGGCAGCTGGGAGAAATGGAGCCGGAATGGAAGGAAAGGGTGCCCAGAGAAATAGCACTATTCTAACAGAGAGGAGGAAATATCAGGGAGTGGAGACACGAGCCTCAGATTTCCAAGACTCCCTGGGATGATGTGTCTTGCCCCACTTGAAGAGTCAGAGCCAAAAATGTCCCAGGACTGGGGGGCGGGGGGGGTCATGTTCTGCTAAGATCTAGTGACTAAGGTCCCAGTGGTCCCCCTGGGGCTCCTAAACAATTTGTTCAGGCAGAGTCAGGCACATCTCAGTTCTGCAACTATGCTAGAGACATGTCCATTAGACATGGTGTCTTCTGGAGAGCAGTTCCCAGTCATTCTGCCTTCATGGACCAATTTAAAAAAAAAAAAAAAAGTGGAGCGTGCCACCAGTTACTATTTTAGCAAGTAAAAAAAAAAATTTTTTTAATAGACCTTTCTATCCACACCTCCACTTTGTAAGAGAAAGGAGAAAAAAAACCTATCCATAGAACACAGCACTGCTCTTTAAGTCAAAGAAAGTGAGCCTTAAGGAAAACAACAACCAAAAAAACTCGATGCCATTGTCCCCATGGTGTTATTTCTCCCGAAATTGGGAGCCAGCCCTGATCCACAGACCTGCATGTGGACCTTCTGCCCTAGGAGATTACAGGCCATCCAGCTGTATTTTACCTGAACCTGGAGGCTCCAGGGTGTGTAGGAGGGTGGGGGATACCAATCATGGTGAGGTCCACAGGGTGCAGACACCTCTCAGCAGAGTTGTGTGGAAGCCTCAGCCAACCCAGATCCATGGTATCTTTACCATGACCACCCAGGCAGCCTAGGCTGGCAGCTTACACGGAAGAATGACAGGTCCTGGCCTCACTCCCAGACCCTGTCACTCAGGTATCCCCATTGATTCCAAAAGAAGCACTTAACACCATCCACAAGGACCACTGGTTCCAATAGCATCTAAGTCCACAAAGCTCAGCCTCTTTACCCCTTCAGGTTTAGGTTATGGGAGGAATGGAGTAGGGAAGGACATGAATGTTAAAAAAAGAGATGAAAGAACCAAGCTTTACAAAGTATACTAGGCAGGTTCTCCTTATAGCAGAACACCAGATCCAATGCTCAGAAATAAAGACTCTACCTTATCCCAGCCCTTTCAGAAATGACCTTCAGGGCACTAGAGCAGCGTGCTAACCTGCCCTCACACTAGCAACATAAAGGAGTTGGGTACTATCTCCCAGGTTGAGGTAGGGAGCTGCAGATGTGATTCAGGTGTCTGCTTTAATCAGTTTGATAAGTAGGGCACAGTCTGTGGTCCATGGGTCACAACAAACAGCATCCAGAGCAAGTGAGCATGGGAAGGCAGAAGGGAAAGAAACATCCAGCAATACTCTCTTCCCTGCTTCCAACACATGGCTCTTTCTTCCTAGTCACAAGATCATTGTCCTCCCAGCTCGAGGCACAGCTCTGCACTCAAGGAAATTCCAAGTGCATGCTGCGAGCCCATCACAGCCACAGGTGCTCTAGCCCATAGCGCATGCAGCTCTCAGCTCAGATGAAGACCATCAAGTACAACTCCTCCATTTCCCCAAGGAGAAGACAGGCTCAGTAAGGCCTGAGTTGTCAAGGGCCTGTGGAGGAATCAGTAGCAGAGCCAGGGGAGCCCTGCAGACAGCGCAAGCCTCTGTCTCTGTCCAGCGCCAGTTCCGCTGCCTGAAGTGACCTCCGCCGCTCAACCTAATCTGCTCAACTTCGCGCGTCCGTACTCCTGCCAACTCTCCACTGTCGCGGCTGCTACCGACCTCATGCCAGCAGTTTACCACCAGAATGGGAAAGACAGCCAATTCAGAGTTACTGTCCTTCCACTTCTCACCTGGGGGTTGCTCTCATCTCAACTCCTTGTTCTCACATCCACCCCAAATACAGGGCGTTCTCCTCCTTGGGGTGAGTGTCTTAAAAGGACATTATTCATTAATGAATTAGTATCTGGTGCCTGCTACCCACCAAGGTACTACTGTCCTTAGAACACAGATTTTAAGTCTTTGGCCTCAAGAAGTACTAGTACCATAGGAAACCCAAATCATGTGTTTCTCACTAGATTTCCAGACAGTTTCAAGTGGCTTGCCATCTAAGAAAAATGATGGCACCCAAGAAAAGTTTAGGGAAGGAATAGCCCACTCCATCAGGACAGCATTAAACCACCTTGTCACTCCAGAGCTTTCTTTGCCAATCCGTCAGGAACTATCACTGCCCTTGTACTCAGACATTAATGTGACCTAGAAATACAGAGTCTGGGGCTTCAAGCAAGTCAAGAAACTAGATTCTAGAAACCAAGCTAGACATCACTATCCTGCATCAAATGCAAACATTAGAGATGAGGGTGCTGGCTTAGCAACCTCTGAGACCCAGTCACTCCCACTTCCATACAAATTATCAGACCTACAAAAAAGAAGCCCACTGTGCTTGCAATGTCAGCTTCGCTGCTTATGGGCCCACTCAAAGGTGGACCAAGAGACCTAAAATGGGAGAATGGGCTTAACTGGACAAATCTTTAACAAGATTCCAGGAGTTTAACATCCTCAAGGAAGGGACAGGGAGCCTAGCAAGGGCCAGCTTACCTCCTTGAGAAGCCCCACTTTTTTCTTCAGCACCTCACACTTACGCAGCTTGCAGATCTGATGCGTGCGGCGGTTGGTACAGCTGGTGCAAGCCCCACAGTTTTCCAGGCGCCGGCAGGGCTCACAAGTCCCACACCGTTTCCGTTTCTTCCTCCCATCTCCACCCCCTCGTAGTTGGGCCTCACTCCCCGCAATGGGAAGCCCAGGCCCCTGGAAGCTCCCTACCATCGCCTGGCCCTGAGGGAAGTCATAAAGGCCTGGCAGGTCTGGCTGGACGGCCAGGGGCACCTGAAACTGGCTCATGACACTGATGCTGTCAGAGGAAGGAGCATAGGTGCAGGGCAGAACCACAGCCCAGTTTCCTCCTGCCCAAGGGTCACCAACAGGTTCTTCTCTCCTAAAACGGCCAAGAGTCTACAGGGCGAAGGCAAGGAGCTTCTGTGTCTGGGATGGGCGCCTCTTCTTAAGCCCTCTTCACCTTCTCTGAAGCAGTCTGACAGGGCTCCTTCCAGGGCCACTCTCCCACCTAATGGGGCCCCGGATCTGGGGGAGGACAGCAGCAACAGCACCTAGGGAATGGATCATCTTGGCTGGGTGAGTTCTTCACCCTCACCCACCAGAGACCCAGGCATGAGGTGAGCAAGTGGGTGTGTGGTGGGGCAGAGCAAGGCAAGGAGTCTTCTCCCAGTATTTTTTCTCCTCTTGGGTCAGGATGATAGAGAAGGCAGCGCTGCCTGAAAGAGACAGAAAGGGGAAGCGCATCACTTGGGGCTCAGGGACAACTTTCACGTGTTACCTCTTCCTGTTTCTGGAAAAAAGAGAAAATGGGGGAAGAGAGGGGCTAACGCAAATGAAGTCCTGCCCAGAACCTCAGGCAGGACGCGCCAGGGGGATGGTCTACAGCCGAACCGAGTGATGAGGGGGCCTGGACGAAGAATTTAAAGGAGGCGGTTAAAGTGGAAAAGTCTGAGAAAGTTGTCCTCTGCACCCATCCCACAGGCTTGTGAGTTTCACCAAAATTCCCTCATACCCTTCTTACCGGGGACCGCTGGGCCCTCCCCAAGGGAGCGAAGCTTTCAAAATAAAGTTTGGTGAGAGCCTCGCTCGCCAGGCTGCCCAGCGCCCCCGGCACGGAAGAGGCCTGGAGGTGGGGGCGCGCCCGCGGCCGCCCCGCCGCGCCCGCAGCCCGACAGGGGAGGGCGGCCAGCGCCGCCGATGGGGCGCCGGGAGGGGGGCGCGCTTGGGGCGCGGGCCGGGCTGCGCGCGCGCGCAGCCGCTCGGGCTCCTTTGTTCTGGGGCCTTGGCCGCACGGCTCCGGCAGCTCCGCAGCCCCCGCCCAGCCGTCCCCGCCCGGCTTCGCTACACTGTGACCCATAGCACCCCGCCTGGCCCCCTGCAACAAAGTAGCAGCACCCCCCACACGCCGGCCCCAGGCCGTCCCCTCCCTCTCAGGGCCGGGCCCCCCCACACCTCCCCTCCCCCATCCCGGAGCCGGAAAAGCACCGACTGCACCGACCTGCCCGCCGCCTCCGGGGCGGAGCGCACAAAGGGGCAAAGTTTCCCGGCCCGCGCTGCCACCACCACCGTCGCGGCCGCCGCCGCCGCCGCCGCCGCCGGAGGCGTCCACCTCCCGGAGCGCCCGACTCAGCAGAGCTCGACGCGCCGAGCCCCCCGCCCGGGCCGAGGAGGGGACGGCGCAGGAGGAAGGAAGAGGCAGCGGCGGCCGCGGCGGCAGCAACAGCAGCAGCAATGAAGGCGGCCGCGGGACTCCCCGCCCCCCGCGCGCTGCGGCACGTGCTCGCCCGGGGACTCCCCCGCCCGGGAGGGCGCGCACGTGCGGCCCCGCAGAGCCCCGCCGGCCCCGCCGTCGCCCCAGCCGCCGGGCCCGGGGCCGCGCGAGGGGGGAGTTCCCGCGGCGAGAGTGGGGGATCTGAGCCGGCAGCCAGCAAGCGAGTGGGGGCAGGGCCTGGCTGGGCTGCCGTGTCTTTGCACCTGCAGCACCTTCCCACCCTCCCGGTCAGCTATCTCTGGACTCGGCCGTCCCCTTGGGCTGGCCGTCCCTGCGCTCCGGTGGTGCTGCAGCCGGACCTGGCAAGGTGGGGTGGGCCACGCGGGCCTCCCAACCTAGGCCCTCGGTCGAGCCGGCCTTAGTGTCCCCACTTCCTGCCACTCCCTGTGGGCCCGAGCGGTCCCGGACGGCCCCGGCGCCTCCAGGAGCCCTTAGCTCCGGGCCATACTGATCCCCTTTTCCCCGTTTGCCGCTCGCTCTTTCAGAGGCAGGACAATGGGGTACATCGCGCGTTTGCGTACCGAGTCAGCCTGGCCGGCAAGAAGAGGATGCCCCGAGGCAGAGACCGCGGGCAGGCTGTAAGGCACCCTCGCGGGGGGTCACGGCCGAGCGCCATGCCCAGGCGGACCCCAGGGCCCTGCCATCACAAGCCTCCCCCGCGCGGCGCTCGGCTCTTTCTCGTCGAAAACAAAGACTAATCCGATACCCCCGCCCTGCCTCCCAGAGGAGGGGGAATGGGCGCGTCGCGGAGGGTAACCAAGGAGGACCGCGTTCAAGAGGGGCTGGGACAGCTTCCGAGGGACCATAAGCGTGGCCGAGCCCTAAAACCTGGCACAGACACTGTGAAAAGTCACCCTGGGCTATATTCCAGACATGGGGCAAGGCGCAAGAATACTTGCAAGTTGCTAAACTGCCCATTCTCAGCTGCTTTTTCCCTCACCTGTTGGGCAGGCCAAGTTGAAATTCCAGGTTAGATTAATTCAGCTCCACCCATCTGGCCTGACTGCCAGGCTGGTGCCCGCAGCTGCCTTCCACCTACCTGGGTTGCTGTGGAGAAGGGTGGGTCTCTAACACACGGGCAAGTCCTGGCACGGAGCGGACTAGCTTGACCAGTTTGGGCGGTGTTCACCAAGCCAGGTACCTGGCAGGCAACCCCGCCGGCTGAAGCTAACAACTCAGCCAGAACTGGAAAAAGAGCATTCGGCCGACTATTTAGAAGGAAAAAAAAAAAAAAAAGTAATTGATCTCAAGTAGCGCTGTGCAGAAAGCCCTAAGCAGTCAAAGCAGCCAGAGTTGTGTCTGAAACTTCCCTCATGCAGGCCTGATTTTGACAGCCTGCTCCAGTAGCCAGGTTGTCAGTCATTGGTGAGTGGTGAACATGGCTGCAATACCTACTTCCTACCATGGTCTGTGGAAGGACTGAAGACTTTCTATTCAGAAAAGTAAGACTAGAACTGAGAATACCACTAGAGTGTAATTTTCAAACACAAGAAGTTATGGACTTAATTATTTTCAGTGCAATATATTTTGATGTTTTAAATAACAAATGTATATTAAAGAAAATGTGGATATAGGTAATTTTTAAAAAAATCACCCAATACAACCATATTTAATAATCTGAATTTCTTTCTAACATGGTTGTTTTCACTGATTATGTAATTTGCCAATCTCTTCACTTAATGTAATACCATAAACATTTTCCTATTTGGCATACAGACTGGAAAGACAGTGTGACAGTGTGAAGATGGCATAAGAAAACTCACTTTCAGACCTGGTTCTACCACTTGCTAACAGTGTGACCTTGAACTAGGTCCTCACCATCTCTGAAAGAATCCAAAGTACTTAACATAGGGCTCGAAAAACGACGATTATTACTCTTTAATCGACAGGACAATCTTGTAAGGTAGGTACTATCATCAAACCCATTTTAGAGATAAGGAAACGATTTGCATGAAGTCACTCATCCAGTAAGTTATAGTCTCAGAATTTGATACCAGCGTCTTTCCTCTCATATTGTGCCTTGGTAAATGCCTCCAGCAATGTATCGTGCCAATTTACTTTTCCCCAGCAACCTCTCAAGGAGGTTACCTCTGACTTAGGTAATTAGGTGGATGCAGGTGCCATTCACTGGGACAGCATATATGAGGAATGGTGCCTCAGGACATCCTTGTGAAGGTGAGCAGGTAAGAACTGGATCAGAAACAGATTTGGGTCCTATTGTGAGCAGGGAGTGAGACCTCGCATGTGGAGGAGCCCATGGGAAGTGGACACAGATGGAAAAGATGCCAGGACAGATCCTTGGGGAACATCAGTTTATGAGGGAGGGCAACAGACAAGCAGCGGACGAGAAGATGGAGAAGAAGCCAGCAGAAAGGTAGGAGGGAACCAGGCTGACAGGAGAGCTGCCTTCCCAATCACTTCTCCCTCTGGAACCTTATGTTTTGGTAGTCTTATGACTTACTTTTTCTGTCTGGGGAAAGCTCTTCCCACCCCACCTCTCTGCTACCCTTTCTTCCTGACAAATTCCCATAAATTCTGCAGGTCTGGGCATAAATGCCAGTTCTTCTATGAACCCTCCAGTAACCCAGACAGATTTCAGAGCCCCACCCACCCTGCACTGAAGTTCAATACTCCCTTCAGGCACTCCCTCCACAGAACAGGGTATTGGAGTTGTAATTGTTTGTGTACTTCCCTTCTAGTTGCAGGCAACTCCTTGAGGGTTAGGACACTGTCCTTTCACCTTCCTAACCCTAGACCATGTTGAATGAAGAAACAGGTCAGTAACATCCGTAGGCTTCCAAGTTTCTTTCTGCCTAGTGTCTTACCTGCACAAACCCCTCCAGACTGTTCAGGTCCTACCTTCGGGTCTCTAGCCTCCCCTGCTGCAGGGTTATTCCTTATGTGCACACTGCTCAGCATGGGTGAGCACAGAGCTAGGCGAACGAGCCTCTTTCTTAGCAGCATTAGAAGAGCGGCAGGGTTTCCAAATAAGTACTTCCCAGGATCAGCAGCATCACCATCACCTGGGAACTTTCGAGAAGCCACTCTCTAGTCCCACCCTAAACTTACTGAATCAGAAACTCTCCCAGTGGGGCCCAGCAATCTTTAACAAGCCCCTCAGCTGGTGTCAATTTTAAGAAACACTGGACTAGAGAAAGTGGTGGGGAAACAAGTTAAGTACCTTGTTTAGGTCAGGGTCAGGCCCCCAAGGTGCTTAGAGCAGAGAGAACCAGATCTGTGCCTTTGTAAACTGGCTGGATCAGACCCACCCCAAGCAGTTGGGGGTAGAACCTCAGGTAGGCAAGTGTGTCCCAGAGGTCAGAACCTGGCTGTACTGCTGCCCCTAGGGCTGAAACAGGAACTTCTCTGGCCAGGCAAGGAAGTCTGAAGGACTGCAAGAGTGACAGTTTCCCAAAAGTGAATAAGGACAGAGGTGGGGCTGAGCAATAAGGAGAGTTCCAATTCCATTGATGAGCTGCGTGAAGGAAAGGGACAGGCAGCAGGCAGTACAATTATATGTGCATGCGTGTGCTTCTGGAATTGATTGCAGAGCCAACACTGCTGGGTGCTTGCTGAACTTGCAAATGACTGCATGTGACTAACCTCCTCAGGAGTACTTGACCCTACTCTTTGTCTTTAGCTAATAAGTAATGTGTTCTAGTTGAAGGATGAGATTTGTGAACTGGGTCATTTTGCAGAAATATATACCTGGAATTGGTTTTAAAGACTGAAGACATTGGGGGGTATATTTAATTTTGGATGTGTTACTTCTTTGGTCATGTATTTGTTTAAAATGTAGTCAACTGCTGCATACGTGGAGCTTTCTCATTTCAAAGCACTTCCACACACATTGTTCTGTCTGCAGAGTGGCTTATACAGAAAGTGTGAAAATGTTACTTTTCTTTTCTATGACATAGTTATTATCATCATCATTTTACAGATAAAGGAACTGGGGCTCAGGGAAGTAATTTGTTCAAGGTCATTCACTTACAGAGTGGCAGAATCAGGGCTACAATCTAGGCCCCTGAATTGACCTACCAATTTCACTAGGGCTGATACAAGGCAGAAGCTAGCATTTTGCTCTTGGGGAAAGAGAGATTTGTTGGTGTCTATGGGTGTGTGAGACTGTGTAAGGTATCTAGACTATGTTCTTTTAACATCTCAGAATCTAACCAGTTTTGTGACTGCATTTTGAATTTAGGTTGGATCAAAAAGGCTGTATTTCTTGCAAGGGGGGTTGCAAAGATACCCATGATAACAGTAAAAAGGTGAAATCACCTGAAAATCTTTGAAAGATTTGAGGGGGCTGGGCAGGAGGAGAGGAGCTTTGCTTGACTAAGAGACCCAGGATGCTGAATGCCCAACAGGGATAAAGGCCTTGTTGCTTCCAAATGTTGACTGATAGGATCATTTATGTTGATTGTCAGGATCAGTTACATTGTGCAAACAATCCTCAAATCTCAGGGTTCACCTGACAAAAGCACATTTCTCAATCATGAAACACACCCACTGGTTCCCATACTCACTGAAGGTTGTGAGTAGAGATGTGTCTCTTCAGCCTGGAAGTCAGGAAACAAGGATAGGGTAAATCAAGCTCTTAAAGCTGTTAACCTGGAGGTGACACATATCACTTCTGCTCTCATCTCACGGCAAAAGCAAGTCACAGGGGGCAGGGAAGTGCAATTAGACCTATCTTGCCAAGTGCATGGAAGGAGCAGTGAATTGTTTGGTTAACAGCATTAATAACTAATACACAGAGAATGTGTGTGTGGTTGATGTGTGTGTGCCATTGAGGTTGTGTAAGTGCATTTTTCCCTCCTGGGCACACATAATTGTGATTCCCATTCTAATGGACTGTCATTCCTTGTACTAGAGCAGGGCCAGAGATTTAGACTGTGGTGAAAGAAATCTGAGTTGAGGGAAGCATGGTGGAAGAGATGAGTGGCCATG